ACTTGCTCAGGGCCCCATTTTCAAGTCTTGTCCTTTGGTGGTGGTGAGTACCACAGTGTCCTATCTCGGGAGCATGATGTGAGGTGCCCTGTTCCCCTGCCTGTAGGAGGATCCTGCTCATCAGACCCAAGATGGCCTTGGCAAATGAGGGCAACTACCGTGAGCTGCGCTGGTTCACTCCGTGGTCAAGGAGTCGGTGAGTCATGGTGCTGGACACACAGGAGCTCCATTGTGATGTTCACTGGATGTTGATCGAACATCTTAGTCATGTGTAGCCTTGGTTCCAGATTACATGTTGAGCTACAAAAGAACGTGGGACAAGGCCTCTGCGCGCTGGTGCCTGGCATTTGCATATGGTTGTTCTGATGTTGCTAATTAAGTTATATCCAGGTTTATCACAAATTAGGTAAAACTAAATCATCAATCAGTTGATGGACCAAACTCTATAAGAATATTTTAAAAGGCTTATTCCAGCATATGGCATAATAGTTACATTGCTGGACTCCCATGTAGTCAACCACAGTTTGAGTCCCGGACCCGGTGGCTTCACACTCATGCCAGGGCGCATGTGCATGCGTGCCCAAAATTTTGAGAGGAAAATGAAAGAGAAGAGATTGTGTCATGGTCATCCCCCTTGGGGTGTGATTTCTTGCTTTCTGTCTCTCTGGTGAGCACATGTGCCCTATAGTAAAAACACTTCTCTCTTTAAAAAATTAAAAAGGTTTATTCATAGCAAAATTATGATTGACTGTAGCCTGCCTACACAATTTCTGGTAGCCCTAAGAAAGTACTACAGGGGTGCTTAGATACTGCAGTGCTTTTATTTGGTTGTGACAGCAGGAGATACAAGCAAAACTAAATCTACAGTTTTCATACTGTCCTAGCCAAAAACATCTCAAAGTGAGGAGCTTCAAGTTACAGGTAGATCTAGAACTCAGATTAGTAATTGGTTGAAAGCACAAGTCTTTATCTCAGAAAGACTCAGAGTCACCAGAAAAAAGTATCTGAGTTTAACAGAGATTAAGAAGGCTTTGCTATTCATTCCCAGAATGCTGTGCAAGAGTCAAATGTGGTCCAAAGACCAAAGCAGTCTGCTGTAGCAAGATTACTGCCTACTCTCTGGCACAACTCTTCCCAGGGCCTCTTAGGAAAAATTGAGAACAAAGGGAGGTATTCAGTTTCAGTCCTCAGAGTGATCAGTCATTTTAAGTGAATCATCACTTAAATCTTGAATGACCTTTGTATCAGCATGCCTCATCTTCATCCTGTACTAACCCAGGCACACCTCAAACCAAACTAGGCACAGAACGGGGTGGAAGAAAGTACAGCTTTGTTGTCATGTTCAAAACAAGAAGAGCGGGTAACACGTGCTGAAAAAGCTTGATCTCCCAGGAGGAGTTCCAACGTACTTTTTTTTTTTTTTTTTTTAAGAGATTTTTGCTATACGGAGTGTGTGCTCACCAGAGAGACAGCGAGATAGACCACAAGAAGTCACCCCCCGTGGGGATGGCTATGCCTCAGTCCCTTCTCCATTTTCCTCTAGGGATTTTGGGCACTCAAACACGTGTGCCTGGTGTGAGTTTCAAGCTACTGGGCCAGGACTCAAACGGCAGTTGACCATATGAGAATCTAGCACCTTAACCACTATGCCATTTGCTGGCCCCTCAAGCATACATATTTAAGGGCAAAATTAAGGGTTGAGGTCTCAGACCTATGATCAGCTTGATAATTATTTTAAGAAGGCATTACCCAGGACCAGCAGATGTGGTTTAAGAAGGCATTACCCAGGACCAGCAGATGGCATAGCAGTTAGGTTGTTGGACTTCCACATGGCTGACCGTGGTTCAAGTCCCAGACCCAGTGGTTTGAAAATCATGTGCATGCCCAAGATCTCGGGAGGAGAATAGAAGAGGAGATTACAATGTGGCCATCCCCCGGGAGATTTCTCACTTTCACTCTCACTGTGTGTGTCAGTCTGTCTTCCCATCAAGCACACACACCCCAAATCCAAAACTTTAAAAATAAATAAATAAATAAATAAATAAAGGCATAACCCTCTGGTATGCTTTCTTGATTATTGAGCCTTAGGTAATCCATTTCTATTTTGGGAGGGTGTAGGCATCAGGCTTTGGCACCATTCAGTCTGGGGTCTATGTGCTCACATATGATCTATGTCCATCCTGCAGGACGTCTTAGAATTTAAGTTAAAGTAAGAGTTTTGGGAATCTCTTAATTACCATAACTATGTCCAGATTTCTGCTGAGAAGGCAGAGAAAGAGGGAGTTTACGGATTCTTTGGGGAATAATTCACTTTGGTTTGTTAACGTCAAATTTTGGGACTATTGCTTGAGAAGAGGAGTAACGGACCACATTGTAAATTCATTAACCCTTTAAGGTCATTTTGTTTTGTAACCAAAGTCTAAAGTCTCACTCAGCTATTAAAATTTATTTATTTAGACTAGCAAGTGACATCAAGGTTAAGGTGCTAGATTCCCACATGGCTGAATGTGTAGTTCAAGTCCCGGGCCCAGCAGCTTGAAAATCACACTAGGTGCATTTACTTTTGTGTCCATAATCCTGAGAGGTGATTGGAGGAGAAGGGGTTGTACCATAACCATTCCCCCAGGGGGTGATTTTTCACCTACTTCTTTCTGTCTTAGTCTCTCTCCAAGGAGTACATGCACCTTTTGGCAAAAACCTTAAAAAAAAAAAAATATATATATATATATGTATGTATGTATATACACACATATATACATACACACATATACATATATGAAATGTTATATATAATATTTTAAATGTTTATTTAATGTTATTTATTGTTATTATTTTTTTAATTTCACCAGAAAGAAACAGAGAGAGAGGGAACGTGAGAAAGCAAGCCACCAGGTCCAGGACTCAAACTGCATTCAGCCATATGGAAGTCCAGTACATTAACCACCACACCACATGCTGGCCTCTAAAATCTAACATATAATATTAATGATTCCATTTACATTTGCAGGACCAATAAACAAATAGGAATAACTGTAATAGAAATATGAAACTGAGCAGGAACCCTCCAAAAGGTCTTGATCCTCAGCTTTCCTTTTTCTGTTAAGGGAAGAAATGAAAATTTCCCCAGCTCTTAAGCTCACAGGGGCTAAGTTAAACAAGTAGTAAATCATTGCTGACACTAGAAATTGGGGACTAGTTACAGTGGGTAAATAACCTGGCCATAAGTCAAGGCCATAATGTTCCAAAAAACTACTCCCCTAGGGAAAAAGATAAGGTTTTTTTTTTTAGAATTATTTATTTTATTTTATTCATTCATTCATTTATTTTAATTTGACCAGAGAGAGACAAAGAGAGAAAGTGAGAAAACAAGCCACCAGGTCCAGGACTTGAACCATGGTCAGCCATGTTTGAATGTATAGCACTTTAATCACCATGCCACCTGCTGGTCTCCAAGAAAAGGTAAGATTTTAACTCACATTCCTAAGATGCTTTACATGAGCCGGAACACACAAGTGGGAATTTCTGTTGGAGAGCACAGTGACGCCAGAAGACCTGATAACTGTCCCCTCCAAAGATAGAAATTTATTACCTAAGACCCCACCAGTCAAGAAAACTCATATGGTTCAAATCCTGGCCCAGTGTCGGTTTAAAGAACGCTTTGGGGGATGTGCACACATGCCTAAAATATTGACAAGGTGAAGAAATAGAGACAAGATTGTGGTGTGATCACATCCCACACAAGGGTGCTTTCTTTTTCTCCCTCTTTCTATCTCTCTGGTAAGCACACACACTCTGTGACAATAGAAGGGAAAAAAAAGAGAGAGAGAGAAATAAAGAAAAGAAAAGGATGCTTCAAATGACCACACTTTTTTTTTTTTCTTGCCATAGGGTGCATGTGCTCGCTGGAGAGAGTCAGAGAAAAGAGTGAAAAATTACCCCTAGGGAAATAGCCACACTGCAGTTCCTTCTCCTCTGTCTTTGTCTCAGATTCTGGGCATGCATGCACAAGAACTCAGTGCGATTTTCAAGCTATTGGGTCTGGGACTGTGGTCAGCCATGCGAGAATCACGCACCCTAACCATCTTACCACCTGCTGGCCCCAGTCATACAGTCTTAATCCAGTCATGGAGGTGATCATTGGCCTTATCCTTAATTCTGTCTTTAAAAATGCCTGATACCCTTAGGCAAAATTATTTTATTTATTTACATATGTATTTATTTTTAGGCTTTTGCCATAAGCCATGTGTGCTCACCAGAGAGACAGAGAAAGGGAAAATGAGAAATCACCCCCCAACCCCACCCCAGGGGCTGGCCATACCACAATCCCTTTTTCTCCATTCTTCTCTCAGAATTTTGAGTACATACACCCAGCCTGATTTTAAAGCTACCAGGTCCAGGGCTTGAACCATGATCAGCCATGTGGGAGTCTGTTGCCTTAACCACCACACCACCAGCTAGCCCCCAAGTTTTTAAATATGGAGTTGTCGGAAAAGTCATGATATTTTTGCATAGAAAGCCATAGAAAAAATATGTCGTGACTTTTCTGACAACCAACCAACCAACCAACCAACCAACCGACTGACTGACTGACTGACTAAATAAATAAGTATTCTTTTAGTTCTTGCTATAAGGCATGTGTGCTTCAGGAGCCATTTAATTCTCCTTTAAGTTTAAGTGCCACTCTGCGTATTTTCTGAGATGGTCGTTCACAGATCCTTGGTGTATTCCTTCCAGGCAAACAGAGGAGTATTTTCTCCCTCGGATGTTACAAGACCTGACAGGACAGGTGAGTCACTGGTTTTGAAACTTGCTCTTTGGTTAAATATGATTTTAGGCTCATGGTGGACCATGTGGGACAGGAATTCTTTTAGACTGAAATAACAGAAAGCAACACAGCTAGCCTAAGTAGGAAACACACAACAGGAGGAAGCTTCTGTGACACTATGGGGGGGGTGGGGGCTCAGGCCCAGCGTCCTTGGTGGGGCACCTCCTCCGTCTTTCTGCTTTTCTTCTCCACACCTCCTTCCCCTTCTCCTCACACACACTGGCTTTCTCCTTTCCATTTCTTCTCTACCCCCAGGGCTTACATTTCCCACCTTTAAGGATTATGTGGAATAAGAGCAAAATGTCATCTCTGTTAAATTCTCAAGGAAAAGACAGGGGTGTCCCCTCATGGTCTCCGTCTTATGGCCACGGTAGGGGACAGGTTGCATCTCACTGTAGTCAGCTGCTCTTACCTTGTGGTCACAAGACAGAGGTAGCTTTCGGAAGTGACTGTCCTGGGTTGGCAGTCCCATCAAGGTCCATGACATTTTGCCCTCAAGCTGCTCGGAATACAAGTGTTTGCTTCCTCTACACCGCAAGACCAAGATTGCCCCTGCCTGGCCTGATGGGCATTCCCATGTGCAGCCACCCCTTCCAGTGTGTGAGAACCCAAGGTCAGATCCAGCTCCGAGAGCCAACACAAGGCGCCCAAGTCCCTGTAGTGGGGAAGGAGAGGACAGAATAAAAACTCCCTTTGATCTCACGTTTCATGTTGGCCTCTTACATGAGGCACAGCCTCCTCCCAGTCACCTCATCTAAGTAAGCTTCCATCCTCCTTCCCTGCCTCATTTTCCTTTGTGGCACATGCTGATCTCGATGTTCCATCATACAAGAACATCCATGTTTTTACAACTCAGCATCCTTCTCGCCCGCTACAGTGAGGCCCCGAACACAGCAGCTTGGTTTTTATCATTCTGTACCGAATCTCTGGGGACCCCCGTGGCACACAGTCAACATGGTGGAGTGAACGCATGAATGAACAACTCTCGGAGTAGACTGAACTCCTAGGTTGCAGTCTCGTGTCCCATTCTGTCCGTGGGAGATCGTCCTTTATCTAGTGTGTGTTGGAGCCACTCCTGAAGGATTCCCATGGTGCTTATTGTGGAGGAGAAGGCTCCTGCTTCCTGCTCCCTCTTAGCAGGATGGTTTTTTGTTTTGTTTTGTTTTTTAAGAGAGATTTTTTGCTATAGGGCACATGTGCTCATTGGAGAGACAGACAGAAAGCAAGAAATCATCCCCCAGGGGATGTGGCCACACTGTAGTCCCTTCCCCTCCATTCTCCTCTCAGGATCTTGGCGCACGCACCTGGCGTGAATTTTAAACCAAGCTCCAGGCAAGGCTGTAGGCAACGGCCTGGGACATAGCTGTGGCCTTCATGGAGTCTCCTGAGCATGCCTAGGGCCCCAGGTCAGTACACGGCCCAGGTGGGATGATAAGTCGGCATGCTCTTGTTCTCCACGCAGGAGACCGTGCCCTTTGGAGACGCAGTGCTGGCCACCCCAGACACCTGCATTGGGAGCGAGATCTGTGAGGAGCTCTGGACACCCCACAGGTCAGCCAGACTGCCCCATCCTCGCCCAGGCCAGTAGGACGGCCTGGGACTGCAGATGCCCTGGGTCCATGGCCTCGGGCTGTGGCGATGCCTCGAGGGAGCCTGAGGAGCAACCCTGGGGGCGGGCACAGAATCCAGCGGTCTTCTGTTTACCTGCCTGTGCCGCAGCCCACACGTGGACATGGGCCTGGACGGCGTGGAGATCATCACCAACGCCTCGGGCAGCCACCACGTGCTGCGCAAAGCCCATGCCAGGGTGGACCTGGTGACCATGGCCACCTCCAAGGTAGGCGTTGGGCTGTGCCACTGGGGCATGTGCCATGGGGCGGGCACTCTATCTCAAGTGCTCCTGAGCCCGCGGGGCCTGGTCTGTGCAGGATAGACAGACATTCAGTGCTTTCACTCATGGCCGTGCTCAGCAAACACACACAGACTGCTCTCCCGGGGCTTCACTCACGTGGCCTCATCCACCACACGCAGCCGTCCTTTGTAGCAGATGCTGTCCCCACCCACTGTGACTGGCAACCTGATGTACCCCTCCGTGGCATCATGGCAGCCTAGAGAGCACCCATGCTTCTGCCACGCCTGTTCTCGGGCAGCGTGGCCTGGCGAGAGGTGGTGGTGTGCAGTCATTCACAGGACAAGTTTGGACTCAGTGGAACTGGGCTTGAGTCTTGGCTTTCACATGCAGCCTGGCTTCTCTCCCTCACCGTGCCTGGCGGAGACAGCAATGCCCGCTTTGTAGTTGTCGGGAAGTGAAATAGGTGTTTTGGGTAATGCCTGGTCCCCAGGAGGGCTGCATGGCTCTGTATTTCTCTGCGTGTGTGCATTCTTTGTCAGGGTGGGGACACTAGTGATGACAGCAGAGTAGGGATGGAGAGGGGGCCTGCAGGCCATATGAGCTGGCTTGGCCACGTTTCTGGTGGTGGTCGGTGAAGGTGGTGGACAGTGGCTGACAGCTCCACTGGCGGCTCTGCCTTTTCCAGAACGGCGGGATTTACCTGCTGGCCAACCAGAAGGGCTGTGACGGGGACCGTCTCTACTACGATGGCTGCGCCATGATAGCGATGAACGGAAGCGTTTTTGCTCAAGGAGCCCAGTTTTCCCTGGATGACGTGGTAATGAGCAAGCGTGTGTGTGGTCGTGGGGGCAGCATGCCCTATCCCGGGCCAGTTCTCTGGTGTGAGGCAGAGCTCGTCACACTCCCCAGTAGCCAGGGCGTGGAAGCAGGGCTGCGTAAAGGTGTCCAGGGCCCTGCCTCCTCTTTGCTCAGGGAGGAAGTCCAGCCCTCGGGTTACAGGGATGGCTGGACATATGACATGTGACGATAGCACCAGGCAGCTGAGAGCGAGCAGTTTATTAGTCACATACCCACATAGCCTGAAGAGGACTTCCTGCCACACAGGGTCACGTGGCAGGTGCACTTGAGAACAGCGAACAGCCAGGGGTTGTGGGAGGCACAGGGTGGAGGGTGGAGTGCCACAGGAAGATGCAGTCGGCTTTTTGGATAATTCCGAGGCCTGGCAAAGAATTGGAGCACACTCCTCAGGAATGAGCAGACACCGTGCCTGTCCCTGTGATAAGGGTGAGGGCGTCCCTGTGTTTGGCTGGGAGACCTTATCCCTAGGAGCAGAGCTGGTGGGAGAACTTGGGCTTGGCTGTCCAAGGCCCACTTGTGACAGTAGCCCTGAGTTGTGATGTTCCAGGCAACAGAAGACAGTCTTGCCCTGTCTCACAAGAGACCTCCCCAACTGAAGATACTGTGTTTATTCTCTCTGGGCCCCCAAGTTGATTGAACCAGGGCCGTCACACTGAGGGCAGATCTTCCACATCTAGTCCACTCAGGCTTCCATGTTAACCCCTCCAGAAACACCCCACAGACATGCCTGGAGTAACGCTTTTTCTAGGTATTCCTTAGTTCCATCAGGTTGACAGACACCTAGAACAATCACAGTATCCCTGTCTTTCCACTTTTTTTTTTTTTTTGGCTTCATGCTTCCCCTGGCTTTGCCATGCTGGAAGATGATGGGTGGTGGACCATCGCTTTGGGAAGTTACAAGAAAGCAACAGGGCATATAAACGCCTTTTCCTGGTCTTCCTGGGCGTTTTCTAATGTGAGTCAGGCCCACTGTTAAAGGTGACAGAACAAATGGGGAGCAAGGTGGCCCAGCGGTCCTGTATCCCCCAGTGGTGCGCAGCGGTAGTTCTTGCGGTCCCACACTTGTATATAATGAGACAAGATTCTAGGAAAATCATTGGATTTGAATTTTATTTCCTAAAAAAAGGAATAACATTTATGAGTTAAAACGTTTTTTCTTCTGAACGTTACAAGTGACAGAACACCCCTCCCGCAGCGGTGGTCAGAATCAGGGCAGCGTCATGCCAGCACCCTGGTGTAAATGGCTGGGGCTCTGGCTCCGCCCTTCCACCATTCTCCAGCTCCACCTTCTGTAGTGCCTTCTTTTTCAAGCTGACCTTTGTCACGGTCACGAGATGGTTGCAGCAACTCTAGCCATCCCATCTTCCCATAGCTATGTTCAGAGGCAGAAAAGGGGGACTTGCTCCCTGTTCATCTTTTTAAAAAGAGAAGCTTTCCCAGAAGCCCCCAGATATTTACTCTCAAAGTCGCGTCTTGCACCGTGATTAACAGCACTGGCACATGCCTGAATGCAGTGGAGGTTCTCATGGCAACACGGGACAAACTTCGGGTTGGCAGTAACACTGCCTGTCCCCTGTCCTGGGTCCCTAGGGATCCATAGGTTCCAGCCCCTACTTTAGAAGGCATGACTTTCACATGCCATACCAATGGCAGCAGTCAGATTACACTGGGAGTAGAAAATGCAGATTTTATTTCTCTTGGAAATTCCTTTCTCTAGGAAGTCCTGACAGCCACGTTGGATTTGGAGGACGTCAGGAGCTACAGGGCAGAGATTTCCTCTCGAAACCTGGCGGTAAGCGTGTTAGTAGAAACCTGCCTGGATGCTCATCAGAAACTCAGAAAGTACCAGTCACAGTGAGCAGGCCTGGCGGAGGCTGTGTGGATGCAGTGTGTGAAAACTCTACAGGGGAAGTCTCAGGAATATGGAGGAAGGGAGTGGTGCAGAAAGAACCCATCTGTCTGTCCTCAGTCAGCACCTGTTTGGTCCACACTTTAAGCCTTGGGATTCCAGAAGCTTAGAATAAGGTGGGGACAGGTAGGTAAAGAGGCCCTGCCAGTCAGCACAGGACAAACAGTGGCGTGAGGACACCTGACCCAGCCTGAGAGGCAGAAGACTCTGGGATGTAAGTGGGGGGGGGGGGGGGGTGGGCAGCATGCAGCCTGCAGCTTAGGCTGGTACCTGTGTGGGAAGCTGGGGGCAAGCTCTGAGAGCCTGAGAACCCAGAAGGTAAGCAAGGTCCTTCATCCAGCCAGCAGTCCTGTTCATAATCCAGAACTCTGCATTTCTGTAAGACTTCATTACAAATAGAGTATTAAATTGGATGATCATTATTAGACCGTGGTTTTGCAAACATTCTAGAAGGAGTGAGCTTAAAATAGGGCAAGCTATTTTTTTTTAAATAGCTTTTTTTTTTTTTAAGAATTATTTTACTTTATTTATTTATTTATGTATTTACTTTTAATTTGACCAGCAATGGACAGAGAGAGAGAAAAAGAGAGAGAAAGCAAGCCACCAGGTCTGGGACTCGAACCCCACATTTGGCCATGTGGGAGTCCAGCACCCTTAACTACCATGCCAACTGCCGACCCCAAAAAATAGCTTTATTAAGACATAGTTTCCATCCTACACAGTTTACTTGCTTAAGTACATGACTCAGCGGTGTATAGTATATATGTAAACTTGAGCAGCCGTCTCCACAGTCAATATTAGAGCATTTTTATCACCCCCAGAAATAGCCCTGTGCCCATTTCCAGTCATTCCACATTGCTGCCCCACAGCCTGGCAAACACTAGCCAGCTTTCTGCCTCTGAGTTTGCCTGTTCTGTAGACACTACAGAAATGGAGTCATGGGACCAGCAGTTAGCATAATGGCTATGTCGCTGGCCTCCCATGTGGTCGACCGCAGTTCAAGTCCTGGACCTGGCGGCTTAAACTCACACCGGGCACATGTGCATGCATGCCCAAGATCCCCAGAGGAGAATGGAGGAGAAGGGATTACAGCATGGCCATCCCCCCTGGGGGTGATTTCTCGCTTTCTCTCTGTCTCTCTCTGTCTCCGTCTTTCTGGCAAGCACACGCGCCCTATAGCAAAAACCTCTCCAAACAAACAAACAAAAAAAAAGAAATGAAGTCATGTAGTGTGTGGTCTTCTGTTTGACTTCCTGCACTAGGACACTGCCTTCGGTGTTCTTCCATGTCGTGTGGTATTAATAGTCTTGTATAGTTAGATGTTACTATGTACATTATCATCACCGGATAATTTTCCATTTTTATGTTTGTTAAATGATTTTGCTGCCTTTTTTTTTTTTTGAGTGGACACACATTTTTATTTCTTGTGTGTATGTGTACATTTGTGTGTGTGTGTGTGTGTCTAGGATTAGAATTCTAACTAGGTCATATGGTAATGCTGTTTAGCCTTTTGTTTTTCAGTTTCTGCTCTAGGGAATATGTGCTTTCTGAGGAGAAGTGGGGGGTGGGACGCACCCCTCGGGGGGATGGTCACACGACAATCCCTTCTCCTTCATTCCCCTCTTGGAATTTTGAGCACACATGCAAACATGACCTGCTTTCAAGCCTCCAGGTTCAGGACTCAAACTGCTCTGTTGGCCATGAGGGACCCAGTTGCTTTAGCCACCATCTCACCAGCTGGCCCCTCTGTTTATTCTTTCGAGGGACCGCCAGACCGTCTTCCAAGCAGCTATGCCCTTTTCCATTCCCACCAGCAGCGTACGAGAGCCCTGGCTTCTCTGCACTCTCTCCAACACCCGGGGCCACCTGTCACTCTGATTTTGGCCAGCCTGTGGAAGTGAAGGGCTGTCTCCTGCAGGCTGCGGTTTGGGTTTGCAGTAGAAGATGGCTCCTTGGTAGATCCCGTCCTGGGAACTTATAAGGTTTCCACAGTATGAGGCCTCGTTTGTCTTGAACCTCCATCAACAGGCCAGCAGGGTGAGCCCCTACCCCCGAGTGAAGGTGGATTTTGCCCTCTCGTGCTGTGAGGACTTGCTACAGCCAGTCTCTGAGCCCCTCGAGTGGAAATACCACAGCCCTGAAGAGGAGATAAGGTGGGTGCTCACAACTCGGAGGAGAGGTTCCGTTGCTATGTGACTGCTACCCTCCAACCCCACTGCCTCTGCAATTTACACTGGGGCGGGCCGGGAGGAGGGGGTTGAAGCTGCCCAGGGTAGCTGCTTGGCTAAGGAGGTGGCTGTGCCTTGCTAGGGTTGAAGGCATGGACACCAGAGCCAGAACGCCTGGATTCACCTGCTAGGTCTGTCACTTCTTGTGCTGTGACCTTGGGCACAAAGGTGCTGTCCTTTCTCAGTGTTCCCACTTACAGATAGGATAATGATAGTACCTATCTCCCAAGATTATTTTCAGAATTAAAATGCATTAATGTGGGCTGGCCCTGTAGCCCATTGGTTGAGGGATCCCAATCTCACATGACTGACTGCTGTTTGAATCCCAGCCCTGGCACCTTGAAAAACCTGTCAGGCATGTGCATGCCCCAAATCCCAGCAGGATGGAGAAGCAGAGGACAGGATTGTGGTGTGACCACGCCCCATTGGGGATGCTTTCTTCCTGTCCTTCGCTCTGTCTCTGTTTCTCTAGTGAGTCCATGTACCCTCTGGCAATTAAAAAATGCATTAATTCACATGAAGTGCTTAATATAGAGATGGGAGCATTGCGAAAGCCTAGTCCTTGCTAGCTACGTCCCTAGTGCCACCTCTACCTCGGGGACCTGCCCCTAGAGAAGCTGATCAAACACATGGCAGGCCAGGATCTGCCACTCCTCCACTCAACCCTTCGATTGCTCTGCAGCCTTGGACCTGCCTGCTGGCTCTGGGATTTTTTAAGACGAAGCCAACAGGTAAGATTTTGTTTCTAGCCGGCTCACTTTGCTTGTTCTACTGGTTTTGTGCTTAATTCTAAGACAGGCTAGTGATTTTTTTTTCTTAATTCAAGCAACAAAGAGCATTTCATCACACTGCCTCTGTGGGAATGCAGTTGACACTGACCAGAGGCCAGTGAGCACAGCTTGGTTTGGCTCTTTGAAGTCCCAGTGGAGCCCAGTGGATGGCAGTCGTGACTCACGACTTATCAGTCCTGTGGTCATGTGTGTCCACACTCATTTGGGCCTCAGACACATCCTAAAATAGTCTCTTTTCCCTCTAGGACATTAATTCTGGCATGTATGACACATTTTCCCAGCCCTAGAAAAATCACTGACACCCATGTGCATTTCCGTGGTACTCTATCAAGGTTTCTAGGGTGGAGCTAGGCTGATCTTTGGGCATGTGGCTTCTCCAAGACTCACATCTGTGTTTGGCTGGCTCATTGCAGGCAGGGTTTTTTCTGCCCCTGAGTGGTGGAGTGGACAGCGCAGCCACCGCCTGCCTCGTCTACTCCATGTGCCGCCAGGTCTGCGAAGCTGTGAAGAGCGGAAGTAGGTGATGCCATGCTTAACCTCTATCTGTGCTTTTTCCCTTTTATGGCTAGGAGGGAGGCTGGTGGGTCAGCCCTGGGGCTGCCTGAGTAGGAGATTAGTAAAAATGCAGGGCCTAAGCATTATGGGGATGGAGGCTTTGCCGTTGTGCTCAGATGTCACAACGTCCTGCCCAAGTCCTGAACTGGGAGCAGCAAGCCCATGAAAGTCCCTTCCTGGAGGTTGGAGCCAATGTGCCCATGGCAGCTGACCACATCTTGCTGCTGCTGTGACAGCATGGCCACTGGGTCAGGTGAACCCAGATTCAGCCCCCACTCCAGGTGCTGTTAATACACATAGCTTTAGTGCATACAGCAGAAAATCAGGATGATGACACTCATCTGATGGAGATGCTGGGCAATGGCATGGGACTAAGTGCCAGTACCCGGGGAGACAGGCTGGGACTGAGCTGGACTGGCACCTCTGACATAGTCAATAGCTTCTACCTGTTCTCCTCGGTGAATTTCAGATCAAGATGTGCTGGCTGACGTCCGGGCCATTGTAAACCAGATCAGCTACACGCCCCAGGACCCCCGAGACCTTTGTGGACGCATTCTGACAACCTGCTACATGGCCAGCGAGAACTCCTCCCAGGAGACCTGCAGCCGGGCCAGAGAATTGGCCCAGCAGATCGGAAGGTAGCGTTGCCCCTGGCATTGGGTGAGTGTAGGCACTGTAATGGCGATTAGAACCAGCGGACACGCCACAGCATCTTCAGTGTGTGTTTAGAAGCTGAGTAGGTTTCTACATCCTCTTGGTTTGAGCCAGTATTAGAAAAATCGTTGTTCTGACCTCCACACCCCCTCAAGCCCCAGGCTATGTTACACTTTCCCCTTCGTCAGGCTTGCATCTCAGGCATGGGCTGCAGGTGGACTGCGCTCACCAGGGTGGGAGCACATGGAGCCAGCTCAGCGGATCCCAGCAGGGAGCTTGATTCACACCCTCCTTATGTCACTTGTCCTGCCCCTGGCTGCCTCTCCACCAGCAGTTCTGTAATTGGGGAGAGCGGAGAGAAGCCCCTTTTTAGAGAGATGAGGCTCAGTTTCATTTCCTGTGTTCCATTTCTTCTGCCTCTGAGGGGAAAATGAAGAGCTGCCCCTTCTGTTTGCTAAGCTCGGCTGTAGACCACTCCTCACCTGCATTCTCTCTCCTGGGTGTATACTGAGGAGGGAGAGGACAGGGATATACTCAAAGGAATTGAAAACAGGAACCCAGCTACACAGAAAGGTCTTTAAGAATGTTATTCTCAATAGCCAAAAAGTACAAATGACCCAGCTGCCCCCATTGATTCATAAATAGGTTATAAAATATGGCCTTTCCATACAGACGAATATTTCCTAGCCATAAAAGGGAAAAAGCACTGATACAGGTTACAGCATGGGTGAACCTTGAAGGTAGGCTGAACAAAAGAAGCTAGCCTCAGAGGGCACCATGGATAGTTCCATTTTTGTGGAGGTTACAGCATGGATGAACCTTGAAGATAGCTGAGCAAAAGAACTTAGCCACAGAGGGCACCATGGATAGTTCCATTTTTGTGCAATGTCCGGAACAGGCAAATCTGTAGAAGCAGAAAGTAGGTTCATGGTTGTCTGGAGCTGGAGGAGGAAGGGATAAGGAGTGACTGCTGATGGGGACAAGGCTTTCTTGGGGTGATGCAAAGCTCTGGAACTGGAGAGTGATAATGTCTATGCAGCCTTGCGAATGCACCAGTCAGCACTGAGTCGTGCACTTTAAGGCTGTAATAGTTGTCAGTTTCATGTCGTATGTGTTTCACTGCATGCATATGGGTGCATGCACACACATATGCCTCTCCACGCTTACTCTTCTTCCAGCCACCACATGAGTCTCAACATCGACCCAGCCGTGAAGGCAGTCATAGGCATCTTCAGCCTGGTGACAGGGAAAAGCCCTGTGTTTGCAGTTCACGGAGGAAGCAGCAGGGAAAACCTGGCATTGCAGAATGTGCAGGTACCTCCCACATGGGCCGTTGTCACCATGGGGTGGAACAAGGATTTCAGAGAGCCCCGGGGACTACAAGGCTAGAGTCTGCAGCCTGTGCCTCCTTAGAATCATTGACCACACAGCCTTCTGGACAAGGCTAGAGGTTTATGTGCATGGGAATATATAAGTGAGCATACAACTGTGTAACAGTGTGCAGGTATGCAGGTGTGTACATGTGTAAGATATCAGTGTGCTTATGCATGTGACAGAAACTGCATGAGTATAAGTGAGTAAGAGAGTTTGAGGATATGAATGTGAATATGCACAAGTGTGTGTGAATATGAGTGCATATATTTGTGAGTATGCATGTGTGGACATGAGTGTATGCGTGCGTATGTACATACAAATGTGTGTACATGAACACGTGAGCTTGTGCATGTCCTTCAGGGAGCGGCCCAGGCACTACCCTGCCTCTGGGTTGCTACAGTGAGCAAGGCACTGGCTGATTGGCAAAGGGAGAAGAGAGGCCTGGAGGCTCCCACCACACAGGTCTGTCCTGTTTCTTTGCCCTCTCCTGCTGCACATGGTAGCCTTTCCCCTCCAGAAATGCCTGGGTTAAAGGGAGTAAGACAAGAGAACTGGGCTTTCTCCTTCACTCACTGCAGCTCAGTCCTTCCACCAGTGCTCTCTGCCCTCCTGGGCTCTGCATTCTACACATGGAGCTCACCTGATGACTGCAGAGGTAGGGTCAGCCCTGAAGGCAGGGTTTTGTCTCAGGGTTTTGGACTGTCATTCTCCCTGAACTTCAGAAAGTTCCTAAGTTATTTTGTTTTATTTTATTTTATTTTATTTTATTTTATTTTATTTATTTGGTTTAGTTTTTTTTTGTTTTGTTTTTGTTTTCGGTTTTGGTTTTTTGCTACAGGGCATGTGCACTCACTGAAAAGACAGAGACGGAGAGAGGGAAAGTGAGAAATCATGCCCTAGGAGGGATGGCCACACCACAGTTACTTCTCCATTCTCCTCTAGGGAGAGGATGTGTGCCCAATGTGAGTTTCAGGCTGCTGGCTCCAGGACTCGAACCATGGTCAGCCATGTGGAAGTCCAGTGCCTTAATCACTACGCCACCTGCTAGCCCCAATTTTCTTGATTTTTAGAGTTGGTTGGAGGGGGCTGGCAGATGGCATGGTGATTGAGAGTGCTGGACTCCCACATCGCTGACTGCGGTTCGAGTCCTGGACCTGGTGGCTTGCTTTCTCACTTTCTCTCTCTTTCTCTCTCTCTCTCTGTCCCTCTGTGGCCAGATTTAAATAAATAAATAAATAAATAAATAAATAAACAAATAAATAAATACAGTTAAATAAAATAATTCTTTAAAAAAAAAAAAAGAGGTGGTTGGGGAACCCCATCTCTTGAGCTGGTGGAAGCATGGTGCTAGTGTACATCTTCCTTATACCTCCCTTTCAGGATAACCCTTTGCCTCTCTCCTATTGACCAGGCTCGAATAAGGATGGTCCTCGCCTACCTGTTTGCTCAGCTGAGCCTCTGGTCTCGGGGTATCCGTGGTGGTCTTCTCGTGCTTGGATCCGCCAATGTGGATGAGAGGTGGGTGTGGCCAGGTTGGCTGGCTTTTAGAGTGTCTCAAGTCTCTGAGGGTGACATGCTGCAGGAGGCAGGATGGCTACAGTGTCTATCATCTGATTCTTGCAACATCTGTGAAGTGGTGTCCTCCCATGTCTCTCATGGCAAGATTGGTACCTACAGCAACGTTGTCTCTGAAATTTCCCGACTCAAGTATGCAGATTAGATCAGTAGTGTTTCCCTCTGTCTCCCACCCTCCTGCCACTCTCAAACAGTTTCATCTGGCCTGTGGTTCTTCGTTCACGCTGTGCCTGGAATCCATCTCCAACCCACATCTTTGAGATTGCTTTTTCCTTCAGGGCTGTTCTACCGTGTATGAGGTCATTTCTTTGCCTCTGGTTTTTACCTCTAAAACAGGTAGTTCATTTTTGAACTGCATTGAACTGCATTTTTGATATGCATTGAAGATACTCTCTTTCTTGTGTTGCTCCTTTGTTAAAAAAAGGAAGAAAAAAAATTTCGGACTCCCTATTGCTTTCCAGATGAAGTTCAAGCTGTCCTTCAAGCCTAGCTTATCTTTCAAGTGGAGGCTGGCAGAAATTCCTTTTCCCCCTTGGTTCCTCCATGTCTCTTAGGTGAGCCTTTGCTCCTCTTCGCCATTCTCTTTGTTGTTCTTAGTTGCTCTTTGTATTAGCAAAGGAATTTTAATATGTCGTCATTCTATTCATCTGGGAGTGGATCCTCCCATTTGTTTGTGCATCCGTCTGTCCACTGACCTGTTCATTCATCCATCTGTCCATCCATGCATTCATCCGTCTATCCATCCATGTTCCTACCATCTGTTTTTCCACCCATTCATCTGTTCATCTCTCCAACCATCCAGCCATCTATGCACCCATCATCTATTTGACCCCTTAAATCTCTCTATCCATCCGATTGTCTGTCCACCCATTTGTCCATCCACCTACGTGTCTGTTTACTTCTTCACTCACCCATCATTTGTTTGTCCGTCTGTCCATCCACCTATCCCTCTTTATTTTTTCTTTTTCCCTTTCTTCTATTCATCTGCACACACACTTGCCTGGTCCAGGCACACACACACACACACACACACCTGGTGTGTTTTTCCACCTGATGGGGCTGGGATTCAAACCACAGAAGGCCAGGTGGTATATGACTCCCTGTGCACTGCACTTCACCGCTATGCTATGGGGCCAGGTTTATCATTTCCTATCCTGTTGATTCTCTGTTGTTGTTTTGTTTTGTTGGTTTTTTTTTTTAAAAAAAAAAAAAACTTCTAATTTTTTTTTTTTTTAAGTTTTAAGAGTTGGGGGAGGTTGTTTTTGTTTTTGTTTTGCTATAGAGCACATGTGCTTGCCAAATAGAGACAGAGAGAGAGAAAGGAAAAGTGAGAAATCAGCCCCCCAGAGGGATGACCACACTGCAGTCCTCTCTTCTCTATTCTCCTCAGGATTTGGGGCACACACATGTACCTGGCCTGTTTTCAAGCTGCTGGTTCCAGTACTCAAACCATGAAGTCAGTCATGTGGGATCTAGCTACCTTAACCACCACACCAGCTGGCCCCTAAGTCAGTTTTTTAGTTGCTTCTAATTCCAATTCTAATTTAGTTGCATTTCTACTTGTTCACCCATCAAGTAGTTATTTATACCTATTATGTACCAGGTATTCTTCTTGGTGTTGTAAACAAAACAGAATAACGATCCCCATTTTACCGTGGTAGAAGGAAACAGATAACGCCAGTAACGTGTGTATCATGTGGAACGTCTACAGAGGAAACTGCAGCAGTGAGAGAGCTGGGAGTGTACAGTTGTGTGTAGGTTGGTCAGGGACGGCCTCACTGAGAAGCATTGTTTTAAACAGGCCTGCAGGAGGTGAGGGAGGGAAATACAGTTCAGGGAACAGCCTGGGCAAAGAACCTGAGGTAAAACCATGCAGGACTGTCTCTCTAAAAACACTGTTGGAGTGGGTTTAGGGAGAGCAAAGTGGTGGGGCCAGAGGTCTCAGAGAGAACTCTTTCCAGAAGCTTCACTTTGAAGGAAAGGAAAGACATAATTATAGCTGGAGAAAACAAGGATGAGTCAGAGTTGACAGGTAAGCAGAGGTGTCTCTGCAGAGATGGCCCTGCTGCTGTCCAAGCTAAGCACCCATGTGTCCCTAGGTCCCACCTCCTCTATCTTAGAACCTCTATCCCTCTCTTCACTGCCCTGGCCTCCCTCTCCCTTTCAGGTAGGCTAGTCCCAGCTGGATACTGAGTTTGCCCAAGTGTCTTCTCTGGCATCTCCAATCTCTGCTCTGTCATCTGCAGCCCCTTCTCCCTTTGCACCTGCATCAGCCATACCAGGCTTCTCTGAGACCCTCTAATTTGTCAAGCTTCTGGCTTCAGGAGTGAGTTCCTGGATGACCAGAGTAAGTGAAATGTACAACTCTCCAGATGTGCTCCCAGGAAACAAGTGCCCTCTCTCACTGCAGCCTCCTGGGCTACCTGACTAAGTATGACTGCTCCAGTGCAGACATCAACCCCATAGGCGGGATCAGCAAGACAGACCTGAGAGCCTTCGTCAGGTTCTGCACAGAGCACTTCCAGCTTCCTGCCCTGCAGGGGTGAGTATGCCCACCAGCTGTGGCACTGGCAACTAAGCCTGACAGGTGTCACTCCCACTCAGCTCAGCCACCCTTATCTCAACTTTCCTGCCTTCCATAACTCCCTATTGCCTGATGAAAATAACCCTGCCCTTCCCTAGATACTCGAGGTCCTATGGCCAGGTAACTCCGACTTTCTGTAGTTGCTTCCACAGTCCCCCAAGCTTTGCTAGATCTTGCAGCTATGAGCTCTCCCACTCCTTCACCACCCATCTCCCACCATCACCAGGCTTGCACAGGGAGGGGTATTTCGATGCAGATGCATAGCATAGTGCTTGGTGCTCTATCAGTGTTGAGTGAATTAATACCTCAGTTTTTCGAACCTCTGTCTGCACCATTCCCTGTACCAGGAATGTCCTTTCTTCTCTTGCTTATCCTCACTGGGGTGATTATGCCCCAAAGGGCACATTGGACAGTCTACAGATATTTTTAGTTGTCACATGAAGTATGCCACTGGCATCTAGTGGGTAGAGACCATAGTTTCTCCTAAATGTCTTGTGATATACAAAATGGTGTCTACGGCCAAGGATTACCCGTCCTTAAAAGTCAATGGTGCAGTGGAGAAACCCCTTGCTGTCTCCCCATGAAAGCCTTCCATCCTTCAGTTTATAGAGCTCCACTGATATCTACACCCCTGCCCAGAGGCTTTCTCCCTTTGTAAAACACAGTACCGTGACCCTTGGCTTGGCTTTGCTAATTGGTAGAGGTTACAGTGGCCAGTGTGCTTGGGATAGTTGGTCTGGGGTCTTTCTTCTAAAGCTCACCAGTGCCTTAGCAGCTGACCTCTGTATGTCTTGGCTATAGCATCCTGTCAGCACCGGCCACTGCTGAGCTGGAGCCCTTGACCGATGGACAGGTGTCCCAGACCGATGAGGTAATGGCAGTGGTTCTTTATCTTGGTTCTTTTGCTCCTTCTTCATGTTTCTGCATGTCAGTGCTGGGTTCCTTCCTCCTTTCTGCCCCAAGGAGCTATGCTTTATTACTGGATTCTGGCTTGGGAGCCTGGGGTTCAGCATTAGTCACATTGCTGACCTTTGACACTTGAATTCAGCTTTCTTGTGGCTGGCCTTGGGAAGAGGGGTGATAGGTGGGTGGGGAGGGAGAGAAAGATTGGTGAGCTGAGGAATACAGTTCCCTCATAGGTGGGAGAGTAGTTATTCCATGTGTTTTAGAGCAAGCTCGGAGAAGAATGCTCTTGACTCTTCCATTTCACACTGTTCTATAATGATTGGCAGGCTGTGAAAGGTCTGTGACCCTCCAGCCTCCTTTGGTCACGAAAACATATACCTATATTTTCCTTCAAGTGTTTTATATATAGCATTAGCTCTTACATTTAGGTCTATGAACTGGTTGAATTAATTTTTGTGTATGGTGTGAGGTAGGGGTCTAACTTAATTCTTTTACATGTGAATACCCAAATGTCTTAGCACTATTTGTTGAAAAGACTGTTCTTTCTCCCATTGAATTACTGTGACCACCTTGCCCTAAATGTAGTCTTTATTTATGGACCTTCTATTCTGTTCCATTGATCTCTGTTTATCTTTGTGCCAGAACCACAATATCTTGATTGCTATAAGTTTTTAATGAATTTTGAAATCAGGAACTGTGATTCTTCTAGCTTTGTGGAGTTTTTGTTTGTTTGTTTGTTTGTTTTTTTAAGATAGTTTTGGTTACTTGGATCTCTTGGATTTCAATTTGAATTTCCATGTGAATTTTGACAACAGCTTGTCATCTGATGCAAAAAAGAAAACAGCTTGGATTTTGACAGAGATTACATTGAGCCTATAGATCAATTTGGAAGTTATTTGCCATCTTAATAAAATTAAGTCTTTTGACCCATGAACATGGGATATTTTCTCATTTATTTAACTCCTTTTTTTTTTTTAAGAGAGATTTTTGCTATAGGGCATGTGCAGTTGCCAGAGAGATAGAAAGCAAGAAATCATCCCCCAGGGGAGGATGGTCATCCCACAGTCCCCTCTCCTTCATTCTCCTCTTGGGATTTTGGGCACACATGTACACGTGCCCAGTGTGAGTTTTAAGCCTCTAGGTCCAGACTCAAACCATGGTTGACCACAAAGGAGTCCAGCAACGCAGCCATTAATGCCATTTGATGGTCCTTTAACTCCTTTTAATATCAATAGTTTCTAGTTTTCGCAGTCTGAGTTTTCACTTCTTTAGTTAGATTTATTTCAAAGTATTTCTGTTAAAATGTGCATGTACACATGTGAGAAAGAGAGAAAGAAAGGTAGGTATCCTTGTCAGGGTCTTGTCATGCCACAGTCTCCTCTCCTCAATCTTCTCACTCCTGAGGATTCTGCCCACATGTGCCTAGCATGTTCTTAAGTCAACCTGGGCATCCAGACTTGTACTTTGTGGCTTCCAGCTTTTTAAAAGTTTATTTAGGTATTTTTTGAGAAAGTGATAGAGATAGGTACTCCCAACAGGGTCTTCATGCCATGATCCACATCCACTCCCAGTCTTTATTTTTTTTAATATTTATTTATTTAATTGTGTTGGTTATTATTATTTTAATTTGACCAAAGAAAGAGAGACAGGGAATGTGAGAAAGCAAGCTACTAGGTCCGGGACTCAAACCACGATTGGCCATGTGGGAATCCAGCACACCAACTGCCATGCTGCCTGCTGGCCCCAGAAAGTGAGAAGTCACCACCAGGAGTGGCCACGCCACAGTCTCTTCTCCTTTGTTCTCCTCCTGGGATTTTGGACACACACATACACATGCACCTGATGTGAATTTCAAATTGCCAGATCTAGGACTTACCTGTGGTAGGTAATGTGGCAGTCCAACGCCATATCCACCACACCACCTGCTAACCCCTCCACTCCCAGTCTTAATCAGCCTAGATCATGATCATGTCTACCCAGCATGCTCAGGGAGGTTCCAGGATGTGAATTCAGGGCCTTTCCCTGTTCATCCTGTTGTGTTATCATTGCACCATTGTCTGGCCCAGTGTTAATAGCTTTTTAATGGATTTCTTAAAATTTTCAGTTTCTAGGATTATGTCATCTGCAAATAGAGATGATTTTATCTTTTTCTTTCTAGTCTGGGTGCCTCTTGTTTCATTTTCTTGCCTAGTGCTTATGACTGGAATCTCTAGTACAGCCTTGAATTGAAGTAGTGAGAGTAGATTTCATTTCTCATTCCTGGTCTTGGAAGGAAATTTACAGTCTTTCCCAATTAAGCATGATATTAGTTATGGGGTTTTCATGGAGACCCTTTACAATATTGACAAAAATTCCTTTCTATTCCTAGCTTTGTGTTGTTTTTATCATTAAACTGATTTTATTATGAAAGTATCTTGAAAGATGCTTTTTTGTTTTATTTCCTTTTGTGAACATAACTGTCATTTATAATCTTCAAACATTATTGCTTTTTCATAGTTTGATAAAGCATTCATGAAATAATCTGTAGACTAGTTTAATGGACAAATAATATTTTTCAGCAGATAAGACTGTCCTAAAAACATTTTTTCCCTCATACCTACCATCCACCACCCACTCTACCAACCACTTTGCCCCCTTACCGGTCTCTCGCATTCATACCCATCCTCTCCACCATCACATCTTTAGCTCTCTCAACCTCTGCCATAAAGTGCAGATAATCGGTGCAAATGAGTGGGGATATACAGTGTGTATCTTTCAAAGTCTGGCTCACTTCGTTCAATATCAAGTCTTTATAGTCATCCATTTTAAGTAAAACAATAGGATCTCATTTTTTCTTATAGCTGTGTAATATTCCGTTATATATATGTGGCCCAGTTTTTCAACCCAGTCATCAGTTTTTGGACACTTAGGTTGGTTCCATGTTTTATCAGTTGTGAATAATGCTTCAATAAACATGGATGTACAAGTGTTTTTCCAATTGTTTTCCTATCCTTTGGGTAGATACCAAGGAGTATTTTATTCCTTTATATAAAGATGCTATTTTTATAATTTATAGTTGCTAAACCAACCCTGTAATCCTGGGATAAATCCTTCTTGGTTATAGTGTTTCATTTTGTATGTTGCTGGATTTGTTTGTTAGTGCTCTGTTGAGGGTTTCTGTGTCTATTCACAAGGGGTACTGGTCTGCGTAGACATCTCGTGATATCTTTGATATCAGGGAAAGCCGCCCTGAGAGAGTTAGGAAGTATTCGCTCCTCTTCCTTTTTTGTAAGGGTTTGTAGAGAACTGGTGTTAATTTTTCTATAAATTTTTTTGTAGGACTCATGGGAAACCATCTAACCTGGGCTTTTCTTTGCGAGAAGTATCTTCATTAATCTAATCTCCTCTTAGGGACCTATTCATATTTCCTCCTGTGTCAGTTTGTATCTATCTGTACTGCAGTTCTCAGAGAAACAGAACCAGTTATCTATCTATCTATCTATCTATCTATCTATCATATATATATATATATATATATATCTATGAGAGAGAGATACATGCATACATGGGGATTTATTAGGGAAATTAACTACATGATTATGGAGGCTGAGAAATTCCATATGCCATCTGCATACTAGTGAACCAGGAACCAAGAACCAAGAACCAAGAATTATCCTTCCAGAACCAAGCTGAAAGGATGCCTTACAAGTCCAAAGGCCTCAGAACCAAGGGGGTAGATGGTAGAATTCTCAGTCCATGGCTAAAGGCCTGAGAATCTGAGGAGCGACTGGTATAAGTCCTAGAGTCCAAAGGCTGGAGAATCTGGAGTTCTGATGTCAAAGGACAGGAATAGATGGTTGTCTTAACTCCAGAAGAGAAAACATACATGCCTTTCCTCTGCCTTTGTTCTATCTAGACCTTGGCCAATTGCATGGTGCTTACCTACACTGAGTGATGGGAAATCTTCTTTACTTAGTCTACTGATTCAAATGCCAGTCTCTTCCAGAAATTCCTTCATTATCTACCCAGAGATAATGCTTTACCAGCTTTCTGGGCAGCCCGTAATCTAGTCAGGTTGATAGTCAAAATCAACCACCACAGTGTCTTTTTAGGAATATGTGCATTTCATCTAAGTTATCTCATTTGTTGCTGTTCATGGTATTCCTTTATGATTCTTTTTATTTCTGTAAGGTTGCTAGGATATCTTCTCTCTCTCTTTTTAAGTTATAAGGGTGTATGCAGTTGCTGGACAGAGACAGAAAGAGAGAGGAGAGGGAAGGTGAGAAATCTGCCCCAGGGTCAATGGCCATGCTGCAGTCCCTTTTCCTCCATTCTCCTCTCAGGAGTTTGGGCACATGTGCACACGTGCCTGGCATGTTTTTCAAGCCACCAGGTTTGGGACTCAAACCATACAATTGACCATGTGAGATCCAGCTACTTTAACCTCCATACCATTTGCTGGCCTGTCTTCTCATTCATGACTGAATTTAGTTATTTTCTCTCTTATATTGCTCAGTCAAACTAAAGGCTTATAACTTTTGATCTTTTCAAAGAACCACTTTTAGTAGTTTTGCAGACTTACTGTATTGTTTTTCTTTTCCCCATTTTATTAATTTTCCTCTAATCTCTATTTTCTAGGTTTAGTTTAGATTTAGTTTGCTTTTCTTTTCCTGGTGTCTTAACATGGAAGGTTATGTTGTTGATTTTATGTGGGTGTTTATAGCTCTGTATTTCCCTCTTGACACTGTTTTCATTGCATCACTGTGTTTCAGTATGTCATGTCTTCGTTTTCATTCATCACCAGGTATTTTCTGATTCCTCATGTAATTTTTTTCCCTTGGTCCATTATATATTTATGAATATGATGTTTAACTTTCATATATATGTGAACTTGCAAAATTTCTTTCCATTATTAAATTTCTAATTTTAATCCTATTGTGATTAGAAAACACTATGATTTTAGTGTTTTTTAAATTTTTTTATTTGTTTATTTTGCATACTTTCACTGAACATCGCCACAGCATACCAAATGTGATTTTCCACCCAGAATACACTGTAAAGTGGCTTAATCATACATGTTATCAACAAATACATTTCCATTTCTTGTTTCTTATGTGTATGTATTTTCCCCCTATTTCTCATCCCCTGCCCTTTCCCATCTTCCTCCCACTCAGTCTCTGGTATCTGCAATTGTTTTCCATTCCTTTATTCTTTCCCACATTGTATTGATTCACAAAATATCTTAATTCATCTAAATATTTTCAATAGTAAGTTCAGCTGATATATACATATCTGTGAACAAAAGTTGACTTTAGGCACAAAACTCTGTGGGTAGAATTAATATATTAAAAAATGCCACATAGTTGAGGCTATATAGCTTACTGTGGTTACTAAATAGGTATTTTTAAATACATTTTTTAATTTTAAGAAAGGCAGTTTTAGCTTTAATAAATCAAAATCAAAAAATGTTAAGAGAACTTTGCTTAATACTTAAAGCCAGGAAACAGATTAGGATTCTGTTCGAATAGTAGGTACATGGACCTGTCCACAACTTGAGAAGACAAAACTCCTTAACACTGGAAAACAAAGCATAGAAGGTCAGTAATGTTTTAGTCAAAAGTCATAAAATTCTATTTCGCCAGTTCATACTCATATAGTTTATCTTCTGTTGTGGTTCAATCTTTCCATGTAAATTCTGGAAGATAACGTTCAACTCTGGACTTGTCCCTACCATTAAGCTGGCCATTTTCTTAGCTGTTTTAGAACTCTTACTTCTGTGTGTCTGACTTTAGTTTTCCTGGGATAGCACACTCTACAGAAATTCTTGGAGAGCTGGTCTGGTGTTGGTCAATTCTTTCAGGTTTTGTTTATCTGAGAATGTTCTTGTCTTCTCCTCCCATATGAAGGATAACCTTGCCAAATATAGTATTCGTGGTTGAAATTGTTTTTCACTCAACCCTTTGAATATATTTTCTCATTCTTTCCTTTCTTACATTGTTGCCAATGAGAGGTCTTCTGTTAGCCTGATGGGATATCCTTCGTAGGTAACGTTTCTCTCTTGCCGGTCTGAGTATCTTGTCTTTGTCTGTGGTTTTGGTCATTCTGGCTATAATATATGTTGGATAAGATCTTCTTGGGTTGATCCTATTTGGGGTCCTTTGTATTTCTTGGGTCTGGATATTTGAATGCCTCTCTAGATTTGGGAAGTTTTCTTCCAGGATTTCATGGAATAGATTGTCAATGCCCTTATGAGTCTCTTCACTTTCTGGGATACCAATTATCTGGATATTTGGACGTTTAATGGTATCTAGTATTTCTTGTGTATTATTCTCATTTTGGGGGGCCATTTTCTCAGTCTTCATGGTGGGTTTTATTAGTCCAGCAATCCTGTCTTCTACGTCTGAGATTCAATTTTCTGTATGATCTAGTCTGCTTTTAATACTTTCTTTTTTCTTTCTTTTCCTTTTTTTTTTTTTTGAGAGATTTTCTCTATAGGGCGCGTGCGCTCACCAGACAAACAGAGAGAGACATAGAGACAGAAAGCGAGAAATCACCCCCCAGGGAGGATGGTCACGCCACAATCCCTTCTCCTCCATTCTCCTCTTGGGATCTTGGGCACGCACGCACACACTCTCAGCGTGAGTTTTAAGCCAATGGGTCCGGGACATGAACCGCGGTCGACTACGTGGGAGTCCAGCGACATAGCCATTACACTAACTGCTGGTTCCCTGCTTTTAATACTTTCAAAGGAGGTTTCGACTTCCTGTATTATAGCCTTCATCTCCAACAGTTCCATTTGATTCTTTTTTATGGTGTGTATTTCCTCTTTCAGCTCTTGCAAGAACTTCCTCACCTCCTGGAACTCATTGATTTTTTCTTCTGGTGTTCATTGTCTCTCTTCTCTTCCATCTCTGTTAGTTTTGTCACTATGAGTACTCTGAATTCTTTATCAGATATTTCCATGAGTTCCATTATACTGTCTGTGGATGAAGAGGCATTATTCTTTTCCCTTGAGGGTGAGGTATTTTCTTGGTTTCTCGTATTTCTTTTGCCCCGGCGGTGATTTCTAGTCATCTGATGGCTTATTCGTTTCTTCCTAATTTCTAGATTAATCTGAGCAATCAAAGGTGCACAGAAGGATGTAGTCTGAAAACTCTTTGCCATTGTACTTTTCTCCCTTTGTGTCACAGATTCAGTGGGTGTTGAAAAATATGAGGACCCAAACAGTATTCAGGTTTTGATGACCTTTCACTTAGACTTGTCTAGATGCTCAGTGGGTAGAGGCTGAGCAGCAAAGTGATGAAGTAAAAGAAAAAGGATAAAAAAAAAAAAAAAAAAACAGAGAAAAAGAGAAAGAAAAAAAAGAGAGAAAAACGGAAAAAGCCAGCAAACAAACAAACTATTTATTTGTTAATTTTAATAAACAAAAAGTGAAAACATCTTCATTGCTCTCATGGCGGACTCAGTCTTCTTCTGGCCTGCCCTTTCTGTTTGCCTAAACGGGAGGTGGGGAGGGGAGAGGATTATTACCAAGATAAAGGAGGATTTCAGAGCCAAGAAAAAACTTTATCTTAAAAAAATTTTTAAATGAAAAGAGAGACACAGAGAAGACAGAAAGAGACAGAGAGAAGGGTACAGGGGCTCTACCAGAGTAAATTCTCAGCAGAACTTCTTCATTGCCTTATCACTGAAATCACTAGATCTCTGCTCTCAGCTCTCATGGCGGACTCGTTCTTCTTCTGGCCTGTCCTCTCTGTTTGCTAGGGTAAATTCTCAGCAGAACATCTTCATTGCCTTATCACGGAAATCACTGTGATTTCAGTGTTGCAAAGTGTTTTGAGGCTCCTTTTATGGCCCAGCACATGACTGGTCCTGGAGAATATTCCATGTGCACTTGAAAGGAATGTGTACTCTGCCATTGTAGAGTGGAGTGTTCTGTAGCTGTCTGCTGGGTCTCTTTGGTTTGTAGTGTCGCAGGTCTTCTGTTTCCTTTTTTATTTTTTTTATTTTTGTCTAGTTACTCTATCATTATTAAAAATGGGGTATTTAAGTCTCCAGCCATTATTGTTGAATTAAAGGTTACACTTGAAAATAATCACTTCGTGCAGAAGAAACCAGAAAAGTCACTTCTTGTGCCAGAACCTCTTAAGTGCTGGGGACTCTGTGGTGAACAAGATGATGTGGCCATTGCTCTTAAATGTTGAATATCCTCTGGGAGGCACAGATAAGAGGGAGGACCCATGATGGCCCCAGGTGACTGTGAGTGCTGCCAGCAGACTCAGACTGGAAGACGTGATGGAGAGAGATGGCAGGTGGTGTAGTGTTCCTTAGATAGGTAGGAGGACAGGCTCCTCAAGGAGGTGTCATTGGAGCTGAGGCCTGAGGGAAGACTAGGGTGGGTAAAACCAAGTGTGTGATGGGAGCTTGAGGCAGAGGCCACGTCACAGAGGTTTCCATAGGCCTGGTTGGAGGTGAAGGCCACTGCTCTGTGAATCCTGAAATGCCAACTCTGTCCCTCTGAGCTGAATCCTGAAATGCCAACTCTGTCCTTCTGATAACAGCTCTGAAGTGTTAGGAGTTGGCAAAAATTGTATCCAGGAGTGAAAAATGGAACGTCCTTGTGTAAGCCTCAGTGTGAAGTCAACTCTTTAAAGCTGCATTGGAAGCATTTGTGGCTGGGCATAATGAGGCCAGTGGCATCCTGTGGCCTCTAATGCAGCCCGGATGTTTGTGAGCCATTTCTTCTCTGAGTCCTCCACTCTTAAAGGGTCCTAAGGGGTAAGGGACAGGATCAATCTGCTTGGCGTACCACACCTTGTATGGAATCGTCTCTGCACTCGTCACCAGTGCCCACCGTAACAAGTGATCCCAAAGTGGGGGCTTTAAACAACAGGAATTCAGCCTCTCAGTCTGAAGGGCAGAAGTCTAAGATCAAAATGTCGCAGGACCACACTCCCTTTAAAGGCTCTAAGGAAGACTTCTTCCTGCTTCTTCCAGCTTCTAGAGATTCTAGGTGTCCCTGGACTTGTGGCCACATCACTCCAGTCTCTGCCTCCATGGTCACATGGCTTTCTCTTTTCCCCTGTGTCTCCTCTTCTGTCTCCTTTCAGGATACTTTTCATTGGAGTTAGGGCCTACCCCAAGTCCAGCTATACCATCTTGAGGTCTTCAACTTAATCAAACCCACAAACACTCTTTTTTCTAAATAAGTCATAGTCATAGAAACTAGGGCCGAGGAGCATATATTCCGGGGTACCATAGTGCTCACCATTGTGGTCCTCATGACAGGACATCTAACTGTCATTTTCCCCAGATGTCACTTTCTTGCTGCTGGCCAGCCTTGGGGAAGTAAGGCATCTGCTCCTGGCTCTTTGGGGGAGTCTCACCTCCCCCAGGTCTCTGGTTTCTATCTCCAAGAGAAGCGTTAAGCCCCCTCTCCTGGCTCTGCCTTGCAATGACGCTGTGGAATGGATTTTGCCCTCCACAGGATGACATGGGGATGACGTACGCAGAGCTCTCAGTCTTCGGGAGGCTTAGGAAGATCGCCAAGACGGGCCCCTACAGTATGTTCTGCAGACTCCTCAACATGTGGAAAGACATCTGTACCCCAAGTCAGGTGAGGCCTCACAGAGGGAAGCCAGCCACCTTTGCAATGGTCAGTTCAGCTTGTCAGAGCAAGTAATACTGTGTGACCCCAAAATAGTAAAACCGAACTGAACACAGTAATACTTTGTAGTCCTCATTTTTCACCAGCTCTGGTCTTGTGTTTGCCCCACTTAAACCCGACTGAGGCCGAACCACATCTGGGTAAACATGACACAGTACAAACCTCTCCCCTTTTTAAGGGCAGAATGTGAAGTTTGTGGTCAGAACATTATTGCCTTTATGTTATGACTGGTAAGTCATGAGTCTTGTTAGGGCTGATGCCCATGCACAGGGTGTCCCATAGAACCACTTTGAAGCTTCATGAAATACATCTTCATGAGACCACCTCAGATCTCCTGGCACAAAACACTGGGGCATTGGAGTTAGGAAATCTACACCTTTATAGTTCAACCAGCCTGCCTGGCCTGAGCCCTGGCATTTTCCACTCCTGTCATTGGGGATGGTCACCTGCTGGGTGTAACCCTTTAGCCACTTGCTTGCATGGTCCGGTGTAAGAATTCCAGCCTCTGGTCTTTCTGGCTTTGCTAACATGAGGTCCTGTGCATTGCGTGCCTACCAGGTGGCAGACAAAGTCAAGCGATTTTTCTCCAAGTATTCCATGAACAGACACAAGATGACCACGCTCACGCCCGCTTATCACGCTGAGAACTACAGCCCCGATGACAACAGATTTGATCTGCGACCATTTCTGTATAACACTCACTGGCCTTGGCAGTTTCGGTGCATAGAAAAGCAGGTAAATCAAGCAAAAAAAAATGTTTTTCTCTTAACTAGTTCTAGAGGAAATACTAGCTGCTTTTCATCAAGGATTGAAGAGCTTTTTTGTATACATGGTGGCATCTTCTTAATTTTTTTTCTTATTTCTACAAAGGGTCAGTATAATTAAAGTTTTAATTTATGTTTTTTAAATGGACAAAAATATAGCATTGATGATGTATAACATGAGATATTGAAATACATTGCAAAATGACTAGATCAAGCTATCTGACATACACATTACCTCACATAATAATTATCTGTGGTCTGCATATTTAAAATCCATTCTAGGGACCAGCAGATGGCATAATGGTTATGTTGCTGGACTTCCACAGCTGACCGTGGTTCGAATCCTGGACCTGGCAGCTTCAGGCTCATCCTGGGCACATGTGCATGCATGCCTGAGATCCTGACAGGAGAATGGAGGAGAGGGGCGTGGCCATCCCTCCCAGGGGCTGAATTCTCGCTTTCTGTCCCTCTTTCTCTCTGTCTCTCCGGTGAACACATATGCCCTATAAGAACATTCTCTCTAAAAAAGAAAAAATTAAATAAAGTGCACTCTATGGCTTTTGTCAAAAAGACAAAAAAATAAACCATGTGAGGATGTGGAGAAAGGGAAACATTTTTACATTATAGGCGGGAATATAAATTAATACAGCCATTCTGGAAAACAGTATGGAGGTTCTTCAAAAAAGGAAAATAGAACAGTGTGGCCCAGCAATCCCACTGCCAGGTGTCTATATCCAAAGGAAGGAGAATCAGGATGTCGTGGTGATCTTTGCGCTCCCGTGTTTATCACAGGACTGTTCACAGTGGTCAGAGTATTGAATCAACCTAAATGTCTGTAAACCCCTTCCTTGCACAAGCAACAATCTGATGAGAGGAAAAGGATAGCCAATTAGTTAACATAGTACCACATCGAAAAACAATCAATTGTGGGGCAGGCCTATGGCCTAGTAATTAAGGGAGCCAAAGTCCACCCAGCCAACTGTAGTTTGACTCCTGGTCCCAGTGGCTTGAAAAACACTCTGGGTGTGTGTGCATTTGTACCCCAGATCTTGACTGGCTGGAGAAATGGAGGAGAAGGGATTGCAGTATGGCTATGCCCCATTGAGAAATGCTTTCTCTCTCTCCCTCTTTCTGACTCTCTTGGGCTAATGCACAAGCCCTCTGGCAATAATAACAACAAAAGTTCGACTGTGGAAAGTATTGTGTTTAGCTAGAGAATGCGAGGGACTGGAAGAAGGCTGCTTTGTATCTGGGGGTTGGCAAAGTCATCTCCAAGGGGTGATGTTTAAACAAGGTTAGAGCCAACGCGTATGTTGTAGTGGGCCCTATCAAGGTTGATTTGCTCCCAAGGTGACATTAGGTGATGTCTGCACATGTTTTTGACTGTCACAACTAGGATGGGGACTGGGCTACTGGCATCTGGTGGGCACAGTCAGGGAGGCCACCGAACAGCCCGCAATACACAGGATGACCCGCCTCCCGCAGAGGATTACCCAGCCCCACATGTAGCGATACCAAAGTTGAGGATGCCACTGTTTGTGGCTGGTCAATTCTTGGGGCTTCTTGGTTACACAGATACTGTGCCTGGCTGATTTCGGTGGAAAAGACCTTAGCAGAGGAACTTAGAGGACTGAGGGAGAGCAGTGAGAAATAGAAAGCCAAGGCAGCTGGGACCCTCAGCATAGGAAGCCACTGCCTTGTGTCCCTGCTGTCACAGGATGGAGCCCACGCTTGACACATTGCCATGGTTGCTAGCCTGCCCCAGCATCTCTGCCTCCCACTGGCAGTAGACCACCCAGGGCACAGAGGGAGCTGTTCCCAGCTATCCTGAGACATGCTCAGCAATGAAGCCCCCAGACCAGGAGGGGGTTTGGGTGCTGAGCAGCCAAAGAGCTGTTTCTATATATGTAGGCATATTAGAACCACACATAGGCAAAGGCAGACAACACCTATAACCATGTTGTCCAAGGTGACCACATGTGTAGAGACACATCCTTGCAGACTTTTCCAGCACACGCATCCAACACTCCATCACACTGTTGCAGCACGTACGTGCTGTTTGGTAACTCGCTTCCATTCCAAGCGCTTTCGGTGTAGGTCAGCATATTCTAGAAGCACCATAGTTAGTCTGCACCAGGCCGTGTGCTTTCATAGACTTCTCTTTGTAGGTTCTACGGCTCGAGAGTGGAGAACAGGACCTGGATGGGGTAGACTGACATCAGTTCCTGCCAGGGACCCTCTCTCCTTGGGGATCTCCAGCATTCTGCCGGCATTCTGGTAACCAAGGTTGGAGCCTCGCCACTCCTGCCTGGAGAGGCATGGCACGTCTGACAAGTTTGAGGGAGAAGGCTCTTTTTATTCTAGCCTTTTAAAAAGAGGCTGAAATAAAGTGAATGTGCTTTATTTATTAATTTACTTATTCAGCATTTGAACCCTTCTCACCAAGCGCGTGCTTTCTACGCCTTGCTTTGGCATGGTTTGACAGGAAGCTGTCGGGTTAGGAGGCCTCATCGTCTCCAGACTGCATCTTCAGAGCAGGAACAACTATGGTGGTTTCCAGGCTGGGAGGGCTGTCATGAGCAGAAAGTGGAGGGGAGACTTCCCATCCTGCCCCATCCTTCCTGTCCTGGGTTCGGTTCCGAGCAAATGATCCCTACAGATCTTCCTTGCTAGGAGTCTGGGACAGGCTTCCTTATTCCTGTCCTGTGGGGAAACGGCCTTGTCTGACCAAGGAATCAGGTGTGGAGCTGGGCCCAGGGCTTTGTAAATCCCCCTTTCTCTGCCTGGTTCATGGTTCCTTGTGGGATTCGCAACAGTATCTGGGAGCCCGAGGCTATTTATGAAATGGGACTATTTATGGAATAGCCCAAGGCTATTTATAGAATTCCTCCTTCCTCCTCAGAGTTCCCATAGATCATGAACTCCATCTGGAGCTGAAGCCCAAGAGTCTTGGCCTCCTAGCCCTACAGGGTGAACCTGAAATAAGAACAAGTCCACAGACCTAGGGAGGAGTGCTGTTGGTTTGGGGCCTGAGCTGTCTGCTGGCTGCCAGCCTCTGAGTCCCCTCCGTTAGTCCCTCCCCTCACCCAACCATGAAACCTGTCCACCCTCCATTAGCCCTGTAGCCAACAGTCCAGCTGCTCCAGAGACTCACCCAGAGCCCTGGGAAATTTTTCTAGAAAAAGAACAGAGGCACTGGGTAGGAGATTCTGTAAGGACCCCCTCCCCATGTACAACCCATCTTCCTGCTTTCCAGCTCTGTAGCTCTGCATGCTGGCCTGTCTTCCTCTGTCCTGGCGTTCCTCACTGCCTCTGTCCCCTGCCACCAGGGAAACCTTCAAAATGTGATGTGCCAGGATGGCCCTTTTCAGTTCCCAGCATTCCCGATGCATTGTCACTGGGAGAGACACCACACCAGGGGTGGGGGCATTGCCCAACACCCTTGCCAGCATCCTCAGCTCATCTTGGTCTCATTATCTCTGGGCTGACAGCAAGATTAGGTGGGGTGATCTGAGAAAGAGGGGGGACTCTCAACGGCATAAGGGCAGGATTGTGCAATCATCATCAACGTCCTTGCCTGAAGAAATCCGTTCTCCACACTGCATTGTGGAAATGCTCCTGTCCAATAGCCCTGAAGGGATAGGGTTAGCTGAGTCTTGGCAGGACAGGGGAACACAGCAGATGCTGGGGGAAATAGCAGACAGTTGAGATCCGATGGTGATTGGCTGGCTAACCCTAGCAGTTTGGTGATGGGTCTTGTCTTCATCTGCATTCCT